ATAAATGTGCTTTCAGTCACAGTGAAAAATATTTTATGTAATACTAATGTAAGATTACTTGGAAAATTCTTACTTAATTTTACTTGAATTTGAGTGAACAACATGCATGCACCCCCAAAATCTCAATTTTTAAATTAATTATATAGGCAGTGACCTCCCCCAACAGATTTTGTTCCATAGCAACTGAAATTCTCTGTTACTATGGAGCAAAAAAGTTGAGATTATGGGGATGCATGCATGTTGGTTAATCTAAGTACCAATCGAAGAGTTTCTGAACAATTATTGAATATTGATTTTGCTACTATGCAATATAAAAGCTGAAGTGAAAATATCCATTAATTATAATTAATGTCCTTGTTAAACTTAGAAGAATTATCTACAATACATTTTTGAATGCATTGTTCACTCAAATTCAAGTATTGCTTAGCAGTTACAACTTCCTCCCTCAAAAAGAAAACATACATACAGCATAGCTCATAAATATAAGAATCGAGTTTTGGTTTGGTTTTCATATCTGCAAGGTTCAGTGTAAAGCAGAAAAACAAAATACAGAGAGCATTGTATTGCATAATGACAAACTTACAAAATGCTAAGATGGTGAGGAGATGAACAAGCTAGGAGGATTCCGTATTTTAAAATAGTTTAAAATATGGAAGATGGAAACCTTACTTTATAAAAGAATTCTAAGATTCATGTTTCCATCCTCACACATCCTTCTGACCAGCTGGGATAGTCATTCCCTTGGCACAAGGGTGAGATCTCCTGGCTGCAGCACAACATTTCAGAGAGTTTGGAATAAGAAATCTATTTTGACAGTATCCCATATGATATCTGCTGAAGACTGGGCAAGACAGACTTAGTATGTACACATAGTTGTGTTTAGGTTTATTTTGCAGGGGCACTGTTATTTTTAGGTTGATTATAGGAAGGAAATCAAAGTCCTCCCACCATACATTTATCTCGCTGTAATCAAGACAAAAGGCTCAAAATCACAAATTAGAATAGGCCCCGAGACTAAGATCAAAAGGAAAGATAAACATCTCCCTTCTTGACCACATCACAAATGACACCATTCAACAACATTTTGGTGTGGCACCAATTATAGAGAAGATGAGAGAAGGCCAGCTCCACTGGTATGAACATGTCTTGAGAGCAGCACCTTCCACCATTGCCAAGACTGCCTACAAACTAGAAATCAATGGACGGCAACCTCGCGGACGCCCAAAACAGAGATGGCAAGACACCATCAACAGAGAGATGCAAGCCACAGGCCTGAGTTCTGGAGACACAGCTGACTGTGCAAAGGGGCATTCAATGAAAAAAGTGATTTATGATCAGAGGTGGGCGTCATATAATGTAACAACAGCCCAGAACCGAAAATGTGCGTGTGCCTTCCACACATCATCAAACACACCATGATTATATAGGATGGGATAGTGCCGGGGCGGGGGGGCGGGCCCAGCTGTTGGTTGGAACTACCGGTTCCCCTGAACTGGTCCAAACCGCCAGCAGCCCACTCTGCTTATGATTGTTTTTCACACGATCGCTGCAGCATCCCCTTGGTCATGTGATCAAAAGTCAGACACTTAGGAACTGACTCACATTTATGACCGTTGTAGGTCATGTGAACACATTTTGCAACCTTCTGACAAGCAAAGTCACGGGGCAAACCAGATTCACTTAACAAACATGTTGCTAATTTAATAACTGTAGTGATTCACTTAACCAACTTTCTTGCCAACTGTGGCAAGAAAGGTTGTGAAATGGATCAAAGTTCATTTAACAAATGTATCCCATACCAACAAACATTTTGGGCTCAATTGTGGCCGTAAATTGAGGACTACCTGTGCTATTTCAAAACAAGAAACAACAGATTTATAAAATTGAAGAATCTAGAGAAAATATGTTATGAAAGATTTTCTTTCAAAAATTGTGACATTTATAATAATGCAAAATAACTGAATCTTTTATCACATCTAGAGAATCTATCCATTTCCTGTTCCCTGACCTTTAAATCATGATTATATGAAGAAAAATCTCTTATTATTTGGATCCACTTTAGTCTCTTTTTATAAAGACTTTTAATAGGAGTAAAAGAAAATAATAAAGCAAGCATTAACCTTTATTTGAACTGTGTGTTGTTATTCTAAGAAAGTATCCTCTCAAAGACAAAAAATGTAACACAATTATTTTGTCTATGTAATATTACTGCATCAGTACCAGTTATTTTGAAATACAGCATCAGTTAACAATTAGGAATCTTGCCATAAATGCAAAACCTAATATATCTATAAAAGGAATTGTATACAAATGATTATGCCTAAGGTATTTTGTGTCTTTCTTTTTTCATAAAAACCTCTGCTTTTCTTACCATAACTTTAACATCCGTTGTAAAATATCAGATGACTAAAGTGGTTCTAATATCATGGTCTCAAAGTTATATAGTGCTACAAACAAGATTGAGGTCTATACTCCCAATAGAGGAAAGAGACAAAATAGAAGCATTCAACTTTTTGATTTAAGATAGCCTACATTTTAAGGGTGTTGATTTGAAGGGGATCTATGAGGGACAAATGACTACTGAATTCAGTGAACTTGCCAAAACTAAAGTGTGATCAGCCTAAACAGCATAAGTAGGCTGGTATTTTAAGAAAGTATTCATTGGGCTCAAATATTGTAGAATCATATACTTGAAAATCTGCCTGTTTACATAAGTAATAGAACAAGCGATTCCAAGGCAAGAAGTAGTAGAAAGAAAATTTGTGGTATTCTACTCTGTCAATGCCTTAAATGGTGGGGAACTAAGCACTACTATAAATGTATGAACAAAACCCTCAATCTCATAATATTTACATAGACAAACAGAGAGTGAAAGCTAAAGAAGGAGATAATATGCAAGTAAAACATATATATATATATATATTATATAAAATGTTTTGTTTACTGAGAATTTAAAGGAACATTTTTCCTTTCAAGCTTTTGTTTAATATTATTTAAGAATTCTCTTTTAAAAGATATAAAAACCTATAATGTTGCAGTATCAGTATGACAAGTAACATTGAATCTGTAATAAACGAAATGGCATTGGATAATATTCATTGCTATAAATGCTTCGGTGGGTGACACTGTGAAATGAATTCTCTGCTTAATGTGCTTCAAAGCACAGAAGACAGCTTGAAAACAATTGTTCAAATAAAAAATTCACAAGAACACTTTGGAATCTTCCAAATATTCTTTATCTCTTGAACAATCCGGTTATACCCAAAAGCATTCGGAGGCATAAAAATTACCTCTTCTTGCTATATCTATATAGATAAAGGTAATCAGTTATCCAGTTAATATAAATTCTGTAAAAACTATTTAAATATTGCCTTTTTGAAAATATTGTTTTATACTTGGATATTCAAAATTATCAGTGAATCTGAAATAATTATAGTAAATAATCATTTAGTTATGAATTGTATAGACAGCCCCAATCTGTTATAATTCTGAATGGTTCTGGGACTTATTTTCAATCCCTTTTAGCATTATGTTAGCTCTGCTTGTGTATGTATGTATATGATAATCTAATTTTGAGAAATGCAAATGTGTTCCCTATGTTTACATAAGTATCTGAGGATTTATCAGGAAAGATACAAGATTTCATCTGTAGTTCAGTAATTTGGTTTGTCTTAAACTACAAATAATAAATGTTAGTTGATAGTGTTGCCAGGCAAAAGAAAAAGGGAAGCGGAAACAAGTGCATGTCCCAGGTGCTGTTTCTCCAGAGGCTCACAACTTGGTTTTCTCCCATTCAATGCAGGTATAAAACAACAAACAAGTGTTCCATGGGTGGACAACCATGTTTGCTTAGAACTGAATACAAATGTTCTTTGAAATTTCTTCATCACATAAAGTGGGTGGGCTATTTCACCTTATTTCTCCAGATTAAGAAAAACTTTTCTAATTGTATCTCAAGAGCAGGATTCTGACGTTATCACTATTATTTGTGATGGTATGTTCCCTTGGAATTTAATGGAAGCATAGGAAATTAAGTAGGCTGCAGGCCACTGAAGTGGTTATTGTGCAATGAAAGACAGAGCAATCTGCATGCATGCTCTGCAGACCTTATAACAAAGTAGTACAATACCACCACGTCATCCATGAATTTAATTTTTTTAAAAAAAGATGAAAGCATTTTCAAATCCTCTTTCACTAAGCTGACAGAAAAATGAATGCAGGAGAACTTCTCTGCTCTAGCAGTAATATCTGAAGAACTATCTGATGGTGGGTGCACCAGTTAATGATATCCAACTACTAGCTAATTCAGAGTTGGGGAGTGGAGGTAAAGCCTGGCACCAAGAGCTTTTGTGAATAAGTGATTATTCTGACACTGTATTGCTGCATACTGTCAATGTAGCATCTGTAATTATTAGGGAAGGGAAACTGGGGTATGAAGGCATAGAATTGCCTTGATTGAATGGTAATCGTTTGAAATATGGGTATGAAGTGCTAATTAGATACTGAGTAAGTGTTGAGATGCAAATGCTACAGGCTTTCATTCTGGTTAGATAATCAGTGAGTGGGGCTCCTGCTGGAATGTGTCTGAGCACATTCCTTCTTTTCTTCATGACAGAAGAGAAAAAAAACTATTATTACTAACAGAAAAGGTTTAGCAGGAGATGAATCTTCAGAGATGTGAACAATTGGAAGTTATTCCATTTTCTGAAGCTGTATTTGTTTCTCAGATACTACTTGAACCCTCTAGTTTAATGGGGTACCATTCAACATTATATTGATTCTTAGCAAAACTGAACCTATTTATGATCTCTGAGAGCTCCCCAATTTAGTATGCTGTACATATTACCTGATAGAACAGGATGTGATTGATTTAAGTATGCTTTGCCTAAACCCAAATGGATAAATAAAGTAAAATAAATATGATACGAGCCTGAGATTTTGTTATGGCTCATTTATGCTTATGTATTTTATACTAAAAAGATTATATGACTTGTTCTTACCTGTGTATACAGTTTTTGGATTCAAGATACGCCATCCCAGCAGCAACATCTAATGAGAATTTCACCAACTGTTTGGTTTTTAGCTCATCCTTTTTCTTTCTTAAAAAGGAAAGGAAATCACCTCCTAGAGAAAGAGACAGATAAGCAATGAGACATGACAAGGTGATATTCCCATTTATCTCCCATTAGTGATGCTTGACTGAACAGGAGGCAGTGTACTCTCTGCAATGCTTTTCAATCTGAAGGTTGAGTAAAAAGAATAAAAATATCAAGATTATAGTTTAATTATACTATTTTTAAAAAACTATTTTAGATATATTTCTGTTACAAGATGAAATCTGCACATTGCATAGAACACTTCAGCATTTATTTATATATATAAAAATCTAGACTACATTTTCATCATTGAATTCAATTACAAAATTAGTTCAATTCACTTAAAACAATTTATAGTAAGATACAGTAAGCACAGGACATGTATACTATCTCTTAGCTGATATGTAAGCACTTACGGGAGAAAATACTCTGCTGGATAATTATTCTGATTATTGGAAATAATGTGCGCTATGTACATGATGCAGTGATAACAATTCCATTTTTAAGAAGGGCACAAAACATTTGGGAAGTTTGCATTAAAGTAATCCATAAAAAGTAAGATGTGAAGGGATATATGAAGATGCAATGTACAGAATGGGAACTTGTCTATTCATGAAGTTAAGGCTTACAGGAAGGCATGCTCCAAGTTGTAGTAGGAAATGTACTGGGGTAAAGGAAAATATTTCTCATATCTACCTGGAAACATGTTATCTGGAGTTTTTTTTCCTGCAAATTATGTGTTCTAACCACAGATCTACTGTATGATCCTTCTATTTTATCAGGATGCAAACCTCACACAGCTATTTTCATTTGGATTTGTGACACTGTATTGTGGTTCGGTATAGAGCACATTCTCCCTTGGGGTGGGGTCTAAACTTGCCTGTCTACAATAACAACTTAAATGATAGTTTGGGAATTTATTTGCATTTTTATCCTACTGCATTCCCTGAAAGCTCATTAAGATCAGAAGGAAAAAACTGATATGAGAATTATCAAATATAATAGTTGGGGTTTTATTTTAAAGAATCCATTTATTAATATACGCCTGGAATTCAAGGTCTTACACAGCTTAGCCCTGGGATAGATCACAGCAGGGGTAAGTAAACTGTAGCTTATATAGGGTTTCCAGCATCTGTAGAGCCCCTAAAATTTCCTTTCTATCTTATTTTACAACTAAGAAGCAGAAGTCTTAAATGAGGCTTAAGGGTCTTACTTTATTTAAACTGCCAAAAAGGGAAGAATTCTAATTTTAGGTGCCATATCTCCAAGTTTCATGCAACACCCATAGGGTCCAAAATTAAATTAGAAATGCATTCCCAAAAAGGAAAAAAAAACTGCTTTAAGTCTCCCCTGCTTTAAAAGAAACATCCTTTTTCTGTAGTACATTCATATAAATATACATATATTAAGTAGGAATAAAAAACAACAACACAGGCATTATTTTATTCTAAGCTAATTAATTCTCCTGAATCTAAATCAGGCGTTTGTTTTTTACAAAGATTTGCTTTTAACACAAAATATTTCAAACTGCAGAGATGTGTTTATTTATTATATGAAATCATTAACAACTGCCTTCATATAAAACTGGCATGAGTGTGAGAGAAATTAGCTTAATTACCAAATTCTGAAATTTTTACCAAGTGTTCCAAAGAACCAGGCTTCCATACATAGAAAGACTCAAGAGGTGATAACTTAATTACACACTGTTTAGTTAAAGCTTTCAAGAAAACAAACTGCCCTATTAAACCCTTTGGTTGTGTTCTCACCTATATTGCCTACCACAGATTATATGGTTCTAATTTATGACTTCAGTAAAAATGCCATCACATTTATGAATCAGACTGAAATACTGGAGAGTTGTAAATAAAATTCAGCTCATCATTAGTCACTTAAACAATAATAATAATAAAAACATCCAAAGTGCTTTTACATAGCCTCAAGTGTGTAATTATGAGCTTCTTTAGAAAATGGATGTGAAAATAAGTGTTACAGTTGTAGATTGCATTTACATAAAATATTTCATGCTCCACTAGCCATAAATATGGTTATAGTCAAGCCCCTAAAAATAAGTTATACATGGGATTAGATGAATTTATTTATATATAGATTTAGCATCTCACTAATACACTCATATTACTCAAGGTAATTTACAATAGTTTAAACAGCAAACCAAATGAGCAAAAATAAAACCTTATGAAATTAGGCATAAGGGATCCTACACCTACTACCTTCTAACCATATGGCATTTGTTCTTTGATGATAATAAACTGGGGCATTCTTCTCAAGCTTTTGCATCAATCTTGTTGAAAACTTCCCCAAATCACCTTAAGATGAAGTTTTATTTAAAATGTGTAACCAGTTTGGCAGAACACTTTGAAAGAACTTTTTTCTATTAAATAATGTTATGTCTTCCTCATGTTCTGAGTGATATGATCATTCTAGAAATAATGGGATTTCTATGATATTCCCTTTCCACTACAGCTCCCATTGCCACCATCGATTGTGCAGATTCTTGGTAAAATGAGAAATGTGGCTAGATATAATCAAAAAATATATTCTCCTATTCAGTCAGAAGAAAAGTTTCATTAGATAAATAAACAAATATGATAGAGTCTTGACATAGGAAGCCATAATTTCCAAATAAGTCAATAAGACAGGTGCACTTGTAAGAAATAATTGCTTGATTTAAATCCAATACTAGCTCTCACGCTTTCCAAAATTTTACTTAAGGACACAAAAATCCAAGACATATGTCTTAAAGAATGGAGAATATCTTGTTTGGAAATGATACTTGTGAAAAAATGATGAAATTGGTTAGAAACTGAACGTAAGCTAGATGTGTGATAAAGCTACCATTTCACACACCTCTCAGCAGCAACATGGTGGACCACTGGTACTCAACCTTGCACTCTCAGGTCTAACCAACCTTTGTGCTCCAATTCATCTTACTACAAATAAACAAAGATGAATATTCATATGTTGTGTTTGGTCAAACTAGCCAAGACTCCTGGATTCAGGCATGATACCATCAGGTAAATTCGTTAGCATATCAGCTTTCAAACTGTTCATAAGGAGACCAACTGCAGACTGTCAAATTCAGGAGAAAGCAGATAATCTGTAAAGAATGGAAACTACACATAACTAAAAATCAGCCTGACTCTTGAATGGCTTGATTAGAAAAATAAAACAACAAAAAAGAACAAAGTCTGAAAGAACTAACTTCCAAGCAGTATGTAAGAAATCAGTGGAATAGGAATATTTCATTCTTTTTAATCATGTTTTGTTTTATCACATTTCACGTCAGACTATCTTTTGTTTATGGCATAAGTAACTTAGAAAAATAGGATTTATATACTTGGCCATTATTCATTCCTTATAGCTTGCTGAAAAGGCAGCCTAAAGAGAACAGTGTTTGAAGATCTTCATCAGTGCCCCTTCTATAATTTTTAATTGATCCATCTGCCATTTAAAAGATGTTTTATGAAGATTTATGTTGCAACATGTAAAATATTATATGTTCTATTCCATCACAAAGGAAGCATTTAGGTAAGGAAAAGGGTAATTTACATTATGAAAGTGCCGAAAACAAGATGTGATACCAACTCCTATTAGACCTTGATTATGCTCAGCACTGTGACATGAATTAACACCTAATTGCCTATCCTTTAATATAAAGGGATTATTCTACTGATAAACTCAGACATTTATATCAACTGTAGCAAAAATCATCGCAATCCATCTTCATAAGGAATAGGGCACATTAATACTTCAAAGCTAAGCTAAGAGGATTTCACTAGAGCACTTTCATTCCATATCGCTAGCTGTGAAATTTTTTTTTACTGCCCTCTGAGAAAAAAAGTTTTAATACTATCATCATGTTACATTTATTGAGAATATATGTTATGAAAACACCACGATTTACAGTATAACAGCAAGCAGTATGAATCTGAAATAGACTATGTGGAACAACTATATTGTTTTTGAAATGAAAGTAACTTGATAGAAGAAACAAACAACCTCTATCAGAATCTGAATTTAATGGCCTAGGCCCAGTCTGTATTACAGTACATGGAACAAGGCTTTCTATCCCACTGCAGATCCATGAACATATCTTACTGGAAATTGAAGTTTGAAGTCTGAAATGGTTTATGCATGCTATTGGCATATATGCACATATAAAGAGGAGAAAGGGGATGAAATAAAATCAGACATACTGTATGTTGTATCAGCTGAAATATTCTTCTCCTAGCACAAGGGATTTTTGAATTAAAAAGTCTATGGTCTACCACTATAAACATACATATGGTGGGCAAAGCAAAAAGCTGCTAGAATTTCAAAAGGTGTTGCAACTGAACTTTCCTTCCCCCACCTATCAAATATTGCAGTATACATTTTCTAACTTTGTATAGGTGTGCAAATCATAATGTTGGCGTAACATCGTCTAACTGGTCCTATGTTCTACTTAGAGATAAAGGGCCAAAGATACCAGATGGATTCTTCCTTTTTCTGGGTGAATTTTATACTTTGGCTTCTTATCTTTCCTCTATTTTCAACTTCTGGATAGCCATCTAGAAAGGGTAGAAGTCCACCAACCTACTTCATCTTGGATTATATTCAATCCTGTAATTCACTCTGGGAATCAAAGATGTCCTAGAACACTTTGGGTGTCTTCAGCTCCCTCTAATAAACAATATTATATATTGGTGTAATAATGTCCAGGTTCCCTCAGGCTTATCAGCCAACATTATTTATAAACTGGACCATAAATATTCAGTAGCCAAGGCTGTCTAGCTTCATCTTATCATCAGCTAAACTCTTCGTCCTTTCCACAGTTTTCTCCTGGATTTCCTCTTGGATTTTTCCTTTCCAGCTTAATCATCCTTGTTTCTCTCTCCTGTAGATAAATCTTCCTAGGGAAACCTAAGCTATTAGCTCACTAGAGCAAAACATTTAGGTGTCTTGCTGCTTTTATGACAGACTCACAGAAAAGTATGATGTCCTATGTCACATATATTTAAGTAAATATAA